ACACACACACACACACACACACACAGAGAGAGAGAGAGTCAGACAACCTATTCCTGGCCCATGCTGTGGCTGCCATGTGGTAAACAGTTAGAAACTCTTCATCCGTTTGCAGAGTTGTTATTTCAAAGACACACTCACACAGAAGCTGGCCCTCCTTTGGGAATACAGCAGTGATTTGGGGTTTTCTCTGGTTAAAGGGGAGGGGAGCCCATTGGTCTGCAGGGGCTTGGCCGCTGATCAAGGCAGAAAGTCAAGAGATGTCACCTCAGGTCAACACAGCACTGCATGAAAATAACTCAGAGGCTGCATTGGGCCCCAGAAGCTATGTCCTGAGTCAGGGCCTGCCTCACTGGGCCACCTATGAAGGTGGACTTCATGACAAACACCTGAACGCACCATCTCTCTACAAATAAGCTTGCAAAAGATTATGGGCTGGTTGGGAAATTGGTTGCTTTCGAAATGGTTATATTCAGTGTTGAACGACCCCAAGAGACATGAAGTTCAGCAGGAATGAACTTGAACCTGTGGTTATCTTTACATTGCACTCTAAATCACTGTCTTTAATGTCTTTCTCTCTGTCTTTCAGGAGACTGAGATTGCTGCCGAATGCAACCATGTAAGTGACTTCTGGTGCCACACCCTAAAACACAACTTTCCAGCATTATGTAATACTTTAATTCCACGTGCTGAATGTGCAGTCTAGAAAGTCAGACATTTCCAAAGGCATGCTGAAATATCGTACTTGCTGTATATTCACTAAAATAATGATTGGTCATTTGTTGAATCGCAGGTCAGTGGGTATTTAGATATGTGGGTTCAATATGGTGCAGGGTAAGGGACAAAATTAAGACTGCTCAGAAGTCAATGGAAGCTTTCTCCTTGCAGAAGCCAGTTACTGATCTGGCTATCAATATTGAATTTCAGCACTTTACATCTGTATTGGCTTGAATGTTAAGCATGAAATGTTATTCTTGACCCATGAGATAGTTGCAGCCTAAGAGAAGGGTAGAATGTGCATAAACTGTATTCAGCCAAAACAAGAGTTGTCAACACAGCATCCACCATGTTAAGTTGTACAGTTTGTATGAAAAGCAGTCAATGCCTAAGGAATTTGTCACATTTCATTATTTTACCACATTGATTCAGATTGTGTATTTTTCTTAATACTGGACGTGAGAATAAGAAAAGTGAAAGCACATGAGCCTGCACTAGTTTCATGTGTCTTCTCTCCTCCAGCTGCTGTGGAACTACAAGCTGAACCTGACCACCGACCCAAAGTTTGAGTCTGTAGCTGTGGAGGTCTGCAAGACAACCATCTCTGATGTCAGTTCCTTGCACTAGATCTTCTATCTTCCCCGCTGTTTTTTTATTTCAATTTTCAGAAATTTTAAGTTATTTTTTATTCTTTTTATTTTATTTTCAGGTAGTGCTTGGTCTCAAGACACTGCATGCCACATGTGGGAAATGAAAACTTAACATTTTTATTAGTTGTGTTTGAAACATCTTCATCAGCCCTTTTGTTATTAAAAAGCCTCGATGTCATATTATTTTTCCTGGACACAATGTTTTATTAATCTCACTTCTGTGCTGTATCCTTTATTTATAATTTTTCATTCATTTGTGTAGGACCTTTCACTAACAAGGGTAGTTCAAGAGACGTGACACTTGCTCTCTTTGCCCAGATTAAAGAATGTGCGGCGGAGGAGCTGGGTAAAGGCTTTCTGGTGTCCTGCCTGGTGGATCACCGCAGCAACATCAGCGACTACCAGTGCAACCAGTACATCACCAAAATGACCAGCATCGTCTTCAGCGACTACCGGCTTATCTGCGGCTTCATGGACAAGTGCCGCGAGGACATCAACAGTCTGCGCTGCGGCAGCATCAGCACAGGAGAAAAGGTAAAATTTTAAAACCTGAAATAGCATTAATAATGCAGTAGTAATAATGCAGTAATAAAGCCAGAAAGGTTTTTGGACTAGCACCATATACACACATGTAAGAGGTATATACATACATACACATAAACAACATATTCATTTATAGATATGGTATATAATTTGGAAGAAGTCAAGTCAGTAACATGTAACAGGTCATGGACAAAGTCGCTGACTTGTCTGACAGGATGCACATACTTTGGCCGAGATGTGGTGTGCTGCTTGAATGCAGCTGTAAAAGATCTGGTGATCTTCTAGATTTACATAGAACATAATCAAAAAATGTTGCACCAGTAGAGCACAAGAATTTCTTGATGGGTGTCTGACTGAGTGAGAGGCATCCACGTAGATTGTCCTCAGCAGGACAGGTGAAAAGAAGTCTAAAGAACAAGCGGTGAAAGTGTTTTTTATGGTCTTTGCTTCCTCATCAAGCAGCTGAAGTTTTTCCAGATTTTGTGGTGGGTCTGATGATCCTTTGTCACTGCTTTCCCCTCAGAAAACGCTGGACTGAAAAAAGACAAGTTTGATGGCAGTTTGTGAGCGAGCAGAGCGAATCAATCTCTGAACATGTTTTCCTTCTGCTGAGCCAAGCTAAACCCTCATAAACACATTAGACATGCAGTTATTATGGGATATCACATCGGCACAATCAGAACTCAGAGCAAATGACTCATTGGTCAGGGGGAGCGAGGTTGTTTTCATTATCATGAATTTGTCATGGCGGCTGACCTCTATGTGATTGAGATTACCACGTTGGCTACCAACCACACTGCAATACAAATGCTATACACATGGCATGGTCGTGGTGATACTATGATCCACACAGTGGAACATTTGTGAGTTTGTGTATTAGGCACATAGATAATGATTGTTTTCCATTATTTTTTTTCTAATGTTTTTTTCATTAATATTTTAGGAAAATTGAAAAATACAAATAAAATTATATTTAGTGTACAATCACAAGGGACAAAGCAGAGCAACAAGTCATTGTGGCTGATGAAACTTTCATGCAGTAGCTACTGTTGTACCAGGACATATTTGCAGACACATCAGATATGTTGAGTGGAAAAAAGTGTGGCGTCACAAAAATAAAAATGGCTGCAGTATGGATTTAAATGATGAATTTTCTGAAACAAAGATTATTGAATTTCGGTCACTTAAACACCCAGTAAAACTTCAAACCTCTACTGTTCCCCGGTGTTGCTGAGCACCAATGAGTGTATTAGAATGTGTATTTTCACATATGTACTTGTGTCTCTAGAGCAGAATCTTTCTAAAGGCTCAGTTAATCCGTATAATAACAAGGGCACTGTTTGTTACTGAATTTCGGGGAGCTGACCCTATTAATAAGTGTGAAGAAGTCAAAGCAAAGGACAGAAGCTGCTGCGATGTACTGTAGCTGTACAAAGTCTGTGTCTTACTAAATACATGGAACATGAGGCTGATATAAACAGGAATGAATAAAATGAAAGAACAAAACAAATGATTATCTGTTCTCCATAAATTTATCCTGGTCTTAACAGAGAGAAACAAAATTGACTGTGACACTGAAATCTAATTGCTAAAACTCTGCTGTGGTTGGATCTTTGACCTCCGTGCAGGACGTCCACTCTCAGGGTGAGGTGATCGCGTGTCTGGAGAAAGGTTTGGTACGGGAGGTCGAAGAGCAGCCTGGGGCTCACGCCATCAAGGATGACTGTAAGAAGGCCATCATGAGAGTGGCTGAACTGTCTTCAGATGACTTCCACCTTGACCGCTACCTCTACTTCGCCTGCCGTGAGGACCGGGAGCGCTTCTGTGAAAATGTAAGGATGTATGCACATCTCCACAGGACCAAGACAAGTTCATGAGCTTGACTTACAGCTTTGCAAAAGAGACGACTTTCATCATTGCATTTAATGTTATTTCTCTTCTGTTAGACTGATTTCAGCTTATGCTGCAAATTGTATATCCTGCTTACCAATAATATACATGTTAATGGTTTTTATTTTTTGGTTGCATCTTGTTTAGCCCAGTGAGACAAACTGATTTACGAAAAGGGGCTATACAAATAGAATTTGATTGATTGAGGATGTAATCACTTTACCTTTTCTTTTTCTGATCACTTTATTTTTATAAACAAGTTCATCAGTTGCCTAAATTTTGAAACTCATTGGCGGTAGCAACTTTTCTAGTTTATTTTGTGATTCTTAACTCAGTTTTTAGGTTAGAAAACATACTGAATATATTTTTATGAAACGATCAGATCTAGTATGGAATTATCAACTCCTAATGCTGGTGATATTTATGTTTGTTAAGATGGTTTCTTTGTCAGATGGCATCAGAAGCAGTGTGTATGACACTGGCTGTCTTGTGCTTGGAAAAGCCTAAAAACTTGTGTGTAATCATTATTCCTTTCATTCATGTACAGTATTCTCTTCTGGGAAAGCGTGGTTAGCTGTGATCCTATTAGTTAACATCACAGAAATTACAAAACCAATCGTGGAAGGTTAAAAACAAGTCAATCATGCTAGTCTTTCTTTAAGGACGCTGTGAGGCACCCTGGATTTAATGTGGGTTGTCGACCATTATGACACATTAACCAATCACATGTTACACCCTATTGTGTAGTCGGATCCCGTCAATAGGCAACTTTGTATGTTATTTTCAGACTAAGTAAGTGTAATGGGGGATATTAATTTTTAGTGAAAATACATTATCTTTGACAATGTTTTATTCCTGAAGATTTCTTCAAACTCACAAAGAGAATACAACCTGATGTCAAAGTCGACTGTTAGTGTGCTTAACATCATCTGTGACATTACCCTCACCTCTGAGTTATTGACTGACTAAATAACTGAAGCTGTGGTGTAATAAGTGTTTTTTATTTTGATTTTCCAGACACTGGCAGGAGAGGGACGAGTTTACAAATGCCTCTTCAATCACAAGTTTGAGGAGGCAATGACTGAGAGGGTGAGTGCTGCTCACCCAGTCCAAGAATTTATTTTCTTCACCATCTTCGAGAGAAATTTGGTAGATTAACATTTTCACCAAGTAGTTGGGTGGATTTATGCATCTCCAGGTTAAAATACTGATACACAAATATCTCTGTGTGTGTATATCTATATCTATATATATACTGCTCAGGGAACATTTAAATCACACTACAGATCTTGATAAATGAATTATTCAAGTTGAAACTCTTAACTCATGTACATTGTATAATTTGTTGAGAACTAAATGAGGAAACAACGGTCAATGGAAACCCAGCAACCCAAGCTGGGCTGTGAGCACAGGTCGTCGGGCCCTCGTGCCACCCTCATTGATCAGAAACATGCACACCTGTAGCCTGCTAGAGGTCATTTTGTAGGGCTCTGGCAGTGCTCCTCCTGTTCCTCCTCAGACAAAGGAGCCCTGTACTAGCTTTGCAACCTGAACAGGCTGCAGGTACCGCCTCATGCTACCAGTAGTGACAAGGACACTAGCACAACCCAAACTAGAGAAGAATCAGTCAGGAAGCATAAGGAGAGAGCAGCTGTCTGTGGCAGCCACATGTAAAACCATTCCCTTTTTAGGGGCTGTCTTGATTTTGCTTCTCCATTGCACCTGTTGTCACCTTTATTTGCACCAAAGCAATTGAAACTGATTCATTATCACGTGTGCTTCCTAAATGGACACATTGATCCCTGAAGTTTAACTGACTTGGTGTTATCCTGTGAGGATGAAGTGTTCCCTTCATTTTTTGAGCAGTGTGTATACATAGATATACACATGCACACTGCTCAAAGTACTGGAAGTAAGATGTGTATATATAGCACACCCACACACACACACGCGCACACACACAGCTAAAAAATTAAGGGAACACTTCATCTTCACAGTGTAACACCAAGTCAGGGATCAATCTGTTCATTTAGGAAGCACAAGTGATAATTAATAAGTTGCACCTGGTTTGGTGCAAATTTAAATCACAACAGGTAGTCGAGCTCCTGCAGGAAGGCACATCCATACGTGCGCGAGAAGACTTGCTGTCTCCCAGCACAATCTCAAGAACATGGAGGAGATACCAGGAGATACCAGTTACACAGGGAGAGCTGGAGCGGGCCGTAGAATGGTATCAATCCAGCAGCAGGACAGCTGTCTGCTCCTTTGTGCGAGGAGGAACAGGAGGAGCATTGCCAGAGCCCTACAAAATGAGCTCTAGCAGGCTCTGACCAAACTGTTAGAAAGTGACTCCATGAGGGCCCGACAACCTCTAGTAGGACCTGGGGAGGCACAGACCTCTTTGTCATAGCCAACAGTATCTTGATTGCTGTTAGTTACCAGGATGAAATCCTCAGAGAGATTGCCAGACTTAAAACTGGTGCAGTGGGCCCTGTGTTCCTCCTGGTGCAGGACAATGTCCGGCCTCATGTGTCCAGAGTGTGTAGGCAGTTCCTGGACGATGAAGGCCTTGATGCCTTTGACTGGCCCTCACCTTCCCCTGACCTAAATCCAATTGAGCACTTATGGAACGTTATGTTTGGTTGTATCTGCCGCCAAGTACCACCACAGACAGTGCAGGAGCTCACTGATGCTCTTATCCGGTTCTGGGGGAGATCACTCAGGACACCATCCGCCAACTCATCAGGAGCAGGCCCACACGTTGTTGGAAGTGCATACAGACACATGGGGACCATATACAGTACTCAGTAACATTAGGAGTTGCTGTGATTTTCGGTATGATTTTGAATCCAGCCCTCAGTGGGTTAATGATTTGATTTCCTTTGACCGTTGTTACATAATTTTGCTCTCAACAAATTATAGAATGTACATCAGTAAAGATTTTCATATTGAATAATTAACAATTTGTTCATCAAGATCTGATGTGAAGTGTGATTAAGTGTTCCCTTAATTTTTTTGAGCTGTGTGTGTGTGCGTGTATATAGAGTAAATAAATGATCTGTCACATCAGAGGCAAATCCAAAATAAAAAACCTGATCTGCCTGTGATTAGCTCTGTTGTGATGCTGATGTTGGCTCCATGTCCTTAGTGCCAAGAGGCGTTGACCACCAGGCAGAAGCTGATTGCTCAGGACTATAAGGTCAGCTACTCGCTGGCTAAAGCCTGCAAGTCAGACCTGAGGAAGTACCACTGCAGCGTGGACACCAACATGCCCCGAGCTCGAGAAGCTCGCCTGTCTTACCTGCTTCTCTGTCTGGAGTCTGTTGTGCATCGAGGTGAGCAGCTTCGCCTCATTGTGAACCTGTCAATCACTCTCAGTCCCAACCACCAATCACTGTCCTTGATTGTTTGTTTGGCAGCCAGAAGCCACTACTAGCTGGATTACCTGTCATTCACTGGTGTGTTTTCACCTGTGATTTATTTACTGTCTGTCAGTCTGTCTCACGTCTTATCATTAGTACAAACTCTAAGAGGCAAAAACCTTGTGCTCTGAATGTGAGCAGCTCAGGGAAAGTAAAAAGTTCAAATGAAGGGTTATAAAATAATGTTTATAAATTCAAGTTGTTACTATAAAACTTTAGTCTACTCCATTATGAATGATAATTCTGCTAAACCTTTTTTAATGATTGTATAAAAAATGTGATTGTCTAAAAATCTTGTTTACCTCCATTGACATTTATGTTATATTCTGATAATATATTTTGAGTCCAGTATTTTATACCTAAACAAGCCCCCACAGTTTTAAATGTGTGCATGAATGTGTGTTTTTAGGCCGCGTGGTCGGCGGCGAGTGTCAAGGCGAGATGATGGACTACAGGCGGATGCTGATGGAGGACTTTTCCCTGAGCCCGGAGATAGTGCTGCACTGTCGCAGCGAGATCGAGGGTCACTGCTCCGGTCTGCACCGAAAAGGACGAACACTGCACTGCCTGATGAGGGTCGGCCGAGGAGACATGGGAGCCATCGACCCCAACTGTCAGAGGGCGGTAAGTCTACATTAATAGGTACAATAATCTAGATGAGGTTGGGAATAATACCTTACCTTCAGCACCAGCAATACTAGTCTGGTAAACAAATGTAAATATTTTGTTAATTTACTACACCACTATGGCACCTATGATGTTACACAGCCAACTCAGTGGGGATGCTGCCACTCTCGCCTCACACTAATAACAGGATGTTGTAAACCAGTGAGGCGGACAGTGAAACAGAATACAGCTGTTAAAAGTAGCACAGTTTTAGTCTTAGGACGCCTTGAGAAAATCCCAACATTTGGCAGAAACGTTCACTTTAACTCAAGCGTGAACTGATTGGAATATTGGGATCAAAGGTCTTGGTCACTGTGAGCTCACAACACATATTTTTGGTCATAAGTCCAGTACTCGTATGCCTATTATGATAAAATACACTTAATATGTTTAATACATACAGGCTCCTAAGTCATCACATTTAAAGTTAAGTCATAGAGAGACATGGATATAAATGCAGCCTCCATGTTGACGTGGCAAGTTAAGTCTGGAACAACAGTCAGGTAAAAAGTGAAAAACCTTTTACTTACTACATTTCCCAGAATGTCTTTCAATACCCCACAGAGCAGAGCCCCATCTGGTGTGGCGCATAGTCAGACTTTTTTTTCTTGATAGGATTATTCCTCTCTGTCCTTAGCTCCAGACTCTGATTCAGGAAGCCGATCCAGGAGCAGACTACCGCATAGATCGAGCACTGAATGAGGCGTGTGAGTCTGTCATCCAGACTGCCTGCAAACACATCCGCAATGGAGACCCCATGTGAGTCGCCCTCCCACTCTTCAATCAAAACAGTCTATGGTGCAGAGTGAAGTTAGAAAATTTTGTGTTCATCCTACCTGATAGCAAAATTAACATGGTTAATGTTTTTCATAAAATGAAACTGTATTTGCTTTATAACATGCATGTGACTTACATATAAGTTTGAATAATTCACTTAACAGTGTTATTTTTTCATACATGGTGTGTTGGCTATTTCAGAGATCTGTTATGCAATTGACACTCAAATCAAATCAATTTAAAACGTCACAACTTTTCAAAATAAAAGCTCTGCCATTCAGCTGCACACTAAGCATTATAGCAACAAAACTAAATTGTGCTTTTACTTTGAAGACAACTTACTAAAGTGGAAGTGAATTTATAGCATATTCAGATCCCACCAAAAGGGCACTGCACATTCCTGGGCCATTAACAATACTCAGGTTTGTGTGAAGCCAACAAGACGAACAGTTCTCGAGATATACGTTCCACAGACAGACACATAGACAAACATTTGTGGAATTAGTTGGTAGATACTGTGTATCATGTGACTGGTATATTTAATAAAATCACATGCTATTTACTGATGTGTTATTTTGTTATTCTGCATTGATAAAATATCAAACCTGTCAGTTTGAGAGTTAACGAACTAACATAAAATATCATAAAAACAGATATTGCATTTATCATTATTGTACATTGTAGTAGAATCTAATCTGCTTCAAAGAATCTATAAAAAGTTTAAATGTTAGGGTAAAATGGCCTCTGCTCATTTCAAATGATCAAGGAAAATCAATATTGAACTTCTAATGATGTCTGACATGTAATGAGTCTGATTCTCCAGTGTTGAGTTTGGTGTGTAACATCTGTTAGACTTGAATATATTGGTGTTGTTCCTGCAGGATCCTATCCTGTCTGATGGAGCATCTGTACACTGAGAAGATGGTAGAGGACTGTGAACACAGACTGCTGGAGCTGCAGTACTTCATCGCCAGAGACTGGAAGTAAGATGTGCTAACCTTTATCATGCAAAGCCACAATAAACAAAAACAATTAGGGTGAGATCAGAATCTTTAAGGAACAGTGATTAAATTCATGTAATCCTTAAGAGTATATTTGTTTGAATTTGAATTACAGTCAGAATTATTTTTTTAAATAGAGTGAGGTAAAATAACACTCTTCGCTGGTCCTTTAACAGTAAATAGTCTGTCTTTAGTAAGTATCAATGTATATTTTGTGTATTTATATGGTAATATAATTGAATGTTCACCAACAGAAATATCTGTTGTAGCAGATGTGCAGTAAATTTGTTCAGTTTGGTGCCACATTACTACGTAATGTTTGAACACTGACACATGAGGTACCCACAGTGAACAACCCATCTGCTAATCATGGCTTGTGCTGCTGCTCAGGCTGGATCCCATCCTGTATAAGAAATGCCAGGGTGACGCAGCTCGGCTCTGTCACACTCACGGATGGAACGAAACCAGCGAGATGATGCCGCCGGGTGCCATTTTCTCCTGCTTGTACCGCCACGCTTATCGCTCTGTGGAGCAGGGGCGCAGGGTGAGTCTCTACTGTGATCACTCCAGGACCAAAGAGAGACTTTTTAGCTCAACTCCTTTTAAAATAATTTGAAATGATTTGTTCACCCAAATGATAATACTGGTGTCTGTCCATACAGATCAAAGTTGACATAGACCTGCTCAGTCACTTACAAATAACTGCAGCTCTCATTCTGAACTATTTTCCACCACATGAAAAAAAAGCAGAATCTGTTCACATGGTGGTTACCTAACGATTCTGTGTTATAGGGACAGAATGTGTTTGATACTCTCACACAGGATCAACAGCAGAAATGTCAACAATGGAGAGCTCAAAAAAAGATTGTTGAATTAAAAAAACAACTGACAATATAGATATTAGAGGCTTGGACGATTCAATACAAATTACTACAATACTAACAATCAATGCAAAACTATTACAACACAGACCAAGGCTAAAAGATGAACCATACACTTCGAAAGAGCATGTAAGTCTTATTTCTAAAAACAATGCTCATCACATGTCAGTCTGTTAGAGTTTTAATTCAGCAGCATATCTCTTAGTTCTGGCCTCAAGCAATGCGAATGATAATTCTACATGTAGGATAAACTCTGAGGAGGTTGTCTAGCTTTAAGTGAAATTAGGCAGTGTTCTAAAATAATAAAGTACTTTCATGATAAAGTAAAATGAAGTACTTCTATGATAAAGTAAAATAAAGACCGGTTCTGATGAAACTAATCGAAGCAGAATCACTGATGCTTTTACTCTGAAGCTCTGGCTCGTCTGGGGCAGGAAGTGTTCATGTAGTTGCTGTGAACCTGAGACTCTCAGTCAAGACATCCAGACAACAACAGTTAGCTGTAAGCAGAAAGTCAAACTGTTACAGGTTAGCGCAGTTTATTCTTTGACTGTGACAATAGACAAACAACTCTCCACGTCACATGCTCATCCTAACAAGCTAATCAGCTAGCATCAGCACGATGATTCTTAATTCTGGAAAATTCAAGTGAATTACTTTTTTGTCCTTGACAAATATACATTTATCACAGCAGGTAGCTGTATCGAGAAGAAAATAGAGCCAATGGTAAATACAGCTTTTGTGAGCTTTCTCACTGACCAGAACATGTTCTCATAGCTCCCTGGTGGGCCATCTGAAGCAGAAAACCAAGGTTTTATTGTGAGTATGTCCTGTCAGTCACAGTAAACTGGACGTCTGTCATGACGACTGGTGGTTTGTTGGGGGAAGTGATTGTGTTCTGGTAATTCTACGCTGGCATTGGTGCATGTGGGAACTGATTTTCAGGAGGAATTGGTAAACTGAAGTGAGCTACTGCAATGTGATGTGAAGAATCAATTCTAAGCTCTAGACAATCTTAAGGTGCTTACATTTATTAATCAAATGCTGTAAAACAAGTTCTTGCCAAATCATCAGAGTTACATGTGCTTTAAAATGATACTCCAAATTTAAATTCTCTGTATAAACGTTTGGGCACACCAGAATTTACACTGCTAGATTTTACACTGAAATTCAGTATAAAGTTTAATGGAATCATGACAATCAGTGGATCATTTTTGGGATAACGTCGATCTATGCAGTCAGTTTGCTTTGAGTTTGACGTTGATGAATTTTGACATATAATTTTCATGTCATTGCTCCACAGAAGAGGAATAGGGAGTTAACCAATCCCAAATGTCTTATTAAAGGCTCCAACTCATTATTTTTTTCCTTCACTGATTAAATTCTTGTTTTAGGTAATTGTATAGTCGACAAAATTAAAAATGAAACTACTCGACTCTGTTTATGCAGCTCTACTTTGGCCAAACAATGACACATTGTTCTTTTCATGTCCATAGTGTATTTTCTGGCTGTAGCTCTGACTGTCCTTGATGGTGTGTGAATGATGTGTGATAATGAAAGTGCTGTATGTGAATGGGTGAACTAAAGTGCTTTGAGTGGTCATCAAGACTAGAAAAGTGCTGTACGTATATATGTATATATACCTATACACGTTTTAAAGCACTTAATGACTGTCTCAACATACAAATCTGCATATTTCAAAGAGCCACCTTTGGGGGAAAATGCCTTTCTAAAGGATAGGAACACTAAAATTATGGAGTGGAGTATCAGTTTAAAGCCTTAATGAACAATAAATGGGAGCTGTTTCTCTGGTCTTTTTCTAACTGGACATGGTAATCCTTCTGCAGCTCTCTAGGGACTGTAAGGTGGAGGTGCAGAGGATTCTCCACCAGAGGGCACTGGACGTTAAGCTGGACCCTGAGCTGCAGAGACGCTGTTTGACCGACCTGGGGAAGTGGTGTAGCGAGAAGACCGAGGCAGGACAGGAGCTTGAGTGTCTGCAGGACCACCTGGAGGACCTGGTGTCTGACTGCCGAGTTGTGGTGGGAAACCTGACAGAGCTAGAATCTGAGGTAACTACCACAGCTGCTGCAACTGCTGCTGTATTCCATTATACTCTCTCTGGTTCAGCGGCTAACACAATAAAGCCTTTGGGTAGCGCAGGCAGGAGGCCCGTCATAACATAAAAATTCCGCTGTGGAAATTGTGTTTTACTGCTCATCCACTCCTGCATTTCCCCTTATTGTCAAAATCTCATTGTCTTTTCAAGTTGACATCTTTGTCAGCGTCTTCTACTTGCATTGCTTCTCTGTTTTCTCCTGAGATATTTGTATTGTTTCAATTTTTGCATCAGTTACTTGTGAGAAACGTCATTGACACTAGGGGTGGGCATTCGATTAAATTTTCTTAATCAATCGTCGGGAGAATTAACGATCAATCGTTACTTTTTTTTAATTAATTAAAATACATTATTTAACTTTATATATATATATAAAAAATGCAATGAAAATACAAAATACAGCGTGTTTTTCCTGGATGAAATCTTTCTTATGAGAAGAAAAACTCTTGTGGCCGTTAAACTGACGTTCAATGGTTAGACTTGAAGATGTGCGCTGCGGCGCTTTAAAGCAGAGGAACCTGCAGCTGCGAGCCGGTGCTCTTAAACACAATTGACCCTCGTTTGTTCCAAAATAATAATAATAAAAAAAATCTTGTTAAACAATAACTTAACCAAAAACATAATAATACTTAGGTCTGTCAGGGGTCAGATGTGACCGCAGCCTGGTGACCGTCAGTCCAGCCGGCGAAAACACCCGCTCTGAGCGGACTGACGTTGCCGGGATGCAGAGGTACCCCGCACATTATTCGATAGTTTATTGACACAGAGTAAATCCTGCAAATGATGAAGTCTATGAAGACAGGAGGAGGAAATAACTTTTCAGGTGCTTCAGTACTGGCGTCACTTTCCCGAACCGGAGTCCACATCATTTTTTTTATGGTCTGATTTGATACTGTGGTTTAAAAAATACTCAACTAAAGAAAAAACATGTAACATACACACCTTAAGAATCATCATGACTTCCAGGCACTGTGCGACAAAGGCTTGTTGTTGTTTAAACATCACTGAGGGAGCACCAGTTATTACAGGGGATGTTTTCTGGTCGAGTCACCTCCAGTTCATAGAGCGAGCTCTCAGGAAGCTGTTAATAAACTCACACAACCTGAGATGCAACCGCAGCCTGGTGACCGTCAGTCCAGCCGCTGAAAACACCCGCTCTGAGGGGACTGACGTCGCCAGGGTGCATAGGTACCTCTGCGCATTATTTGCATATTTTATCGATTCATCGATTAATCATGCCCATCCCTAATTGACACGGCCACATACTCACTGTTATTTTCCCTAGACATTTTTCTGCTGTATCCTCACATTTCCCAGACATTTTACTAGGGGGCTAGCAGGAAAAGTTCTGTAAAATGTCCAAAGCAGCTCACTCCTCTCACAGACAAAATGGGCAATTTCAATAAAATGTCTGCTGTTCATTGCATGTCTGAAAGCACCTTAAGACAATACCCCCTTTCCAAGTTTACACTACGTAATAATTCTAAGCAGCGTTCGTGTCTAAAGTGTGCAGGGCTTGTATTGGGTATGTGACAAATAAAGTATCTCAATTAATAATGCTTGCTTTTCAAAAAAGAAATGAAAATGTATTGATTTTTCCCTTTATCTTATTTTTTGCTACGTCTATCTCCTATTTTAACTCGCAAATCTTAAGTCTTTAATATATGTTTCTCTTCAGTTAAAATGAAATGTATAATTGACCATTTCCACTGAAATCGTGACTCATGACAATATCTCAAAATAATCGTACTTAATGCCGGCCCTCAGGTAGGGAACGTCCTCTCGCTGAATCTAACTCTCACACTGACTTTGTTAGCCGTCCTGATGGAATAAAGGCAGCATCATCGTAGCTGACTGATCTGATCTTACTGGATGTTTTGTGTTAACTGCATCGCTCCATTTGTTCTGTCCTCAGGATATTCAGATCGAGGCACTGCTTATGAGAGCCTGTGAACCCGTCATCCAGTCCCACTGCCACGTAAGTCTTTTCCAAAAAATTCACAGTTGGTAGTTCTGAAATCCAGTTTGAGCGAGAGGAGGAATTTCGGGAATTTTTGGCACCTAAAGAAGAGATATGCTGCCCTGATATAAGGAAGTCGACTGTGTTAAAACTGGTTTCTAAAGCCAAAATACTGAAGAGAAAGAATAAAGCAGGAAGTATTTTATATGGAGTCTAAATGCATGATGGATACAATTTGTATTGTAGAACTGTGAGATATTTAGTTGTTGAAAGTTATTCAGATGTCAATATTCAATACTGCCTGATTTTTATTGTCTACATGTCTCTGTTTGTTAGGAGGTAGCTGATAATCAGATCGACACTGGTGATCTGATGGAGTGCTTGGTTCAGAACAAACACCAGAAGGAGATGAATGAGAAGTGTGCAGTGGGAGTGACACACTTCCAGCTGGTGAGCAGACGGATCACATTATGCTCAACACAAGAAGAAAAATGCCCTCATTCTGAACTAAAAGCACATTGTAAAGCTTCAGTGTGTAGTATTCAGTGGCTTTGAGTAGTGAAGTGTGTAGCAGAACCACAGGTCCTTGAGGAGGAAGAAAGGCAATAATCCCTTTCAAGATCCAGTGTTTGGTTTGTCTGATGTAGGCTGATAGATCACCCTAAATCCTCCAAACTGGACGTTTCACCCAATTCTCAATTATATTACTTAGGCATTTGTTTTACTTGTTAAATGTATCACTAATTATAATGTCTGTGTTTCTTTTCTCAGATTCAGATCAAAGATTTCCGTTTCTCCTATAAGTTCAAAACAGCCTGCAAGGAAGACGTCCTCAAACTGTGTCCCAACATAAAGAAGAAGTAAGGCCCACAAAATCAAAGTGGTTTTAAATGGTCCTTGTGGTACTGATGGGGTTTTGGCTTAACACTCAGTCATGAGAAAAATATGATTGATAGGCTCCAGACAGATGATTCAGCAGAATTTTACAACAGAGTTATTCCTTGGCTCAGTTAAAAAGCTTTGCCAATAAAAAATCTGTCATCAGGATTGATTGAGGTCAACAGGTCATAACCAGATATCGAGGTCTTCTTCTTGTCACTTTCAGGAGCTGTTGTACTTAATTTTAAATATGTTATTCCAGTAGCTCAGTGTAAACTATAAATCAAACATGTATTAAGGAGTTGTTGGAATAAACAGCAACAATTGAATATGTGAATTATGCGATCAGTAAATCTGTCTGTTCTGCAGTCACGTTCAGTTTTCTATCACAGCTCATTCTCAAGACTTCAGTTTTTGCCACAACTTGTAAAACAGAAATGTAAAACAAGCTTGGTGCAGTTTATAAACCTGAATGATGTAACCAAACATCAGTGACATGCTAGAAATCCAACTGAATGTCCGGAGGCAGGTCGTAGCTCAGGCGTTGACTCCTACCAAATAGCAATGGCCCAAATCACGCTCATTCAGTTGAATTTGTTTACGTTTAAGGGGTTGAAATTATTGTAGTCGTGAGGCGATAACGTAACAAAAGTGATGTTTTACAACTAGAGGTGCGGAAATTTACAGTTTTTCCAATGCATCATGATGCGGACAGGGACTACTCTGCCTCGATGCAGTGACAGAACATAATTGATTCAAGTTTTTCGCTACATTAAATGTTTTAAACAGTGTTCCTCCGCTTAATAATTATAACCACCTCTGCTTCAAGATCAGGATCAGGGTTAGAGTGAAGTTTACCAGATATCTAAAACACCTCATGATCATGTAAAGCATGGAATGATAGATGGTTAGTTTTTATGGGCTCACAGGACAAATTTGTTGGAAGCCAAACACATTCCTTCTGCTGTTAATTCCACAACTTATCAACAGACTTTCCATAGAGAAGTAGAAACAATCAGACTGAGTTGAATGACCTCATGTCTTCCTGTCATTCAGGGTGGACGTAGTGATGTGCCTCAGCATCACAGTGAGGAACGACACGCTGCAGGAGGCCAAGGAGCAGCGGGTGTCCGTCAAATGTCGTAAGCAGCTGCGGGTGGAGGAGGTAGAGATGGTACGTTCACTGCCACGGCAACATCACGTCAGTCGGTCACCGAGACAGGGAGCCTACTTTACTGGTTTAACCTTTGTGGCTGATCGATATATATTCCTCCATAAGGCGGGATGTGAGAGGTGTAGTGGTTTTGATCCTGAACCAAACTAAATTTTCATTTTTTTTTCATGCCTACACAAATTAAAAGTAAGCTGTTCCTTGTGTGTCCATGTTTTCTGTATGTCCACTAAATCCTTTTTGAATCTCTGCAGTCGGAGGATATCCGTCTGGAGCCGGAGCTTTACGACTCCTGTAAGCAGGACATCACCAGACTGTGTCAGAATGTGGCTTACGGCAACGCACAGGTCAGGAGTCACACATATGCAAAAGCACTCATTTCTGTTCACTTAAAAAAAGACACATTTCACCTTTATTGCATTTAGTGGTCAGTAGTTTCAGTTCAGTTTAATGAACATTTCAGAAATGGTAGAAATGTTTTAGCCATAGGATTGTGGTCAGTTCAAGTGATTAAATATTGAGAAACATTCTTCAGTCAGTTTGAGTAACTATAGTTTAAGCACTGAAGACCTGAAACAGTTGTGGACACTATCATTGTCCAGCAGATGGCTAGTACCCGCTTATAGAAATAGTTTCATTTCAGGGCAAAAGTCATCTGGAATATTCTCATGAAAATTCACAATTATGTTTCTCAGATAGTGAAGTGGAGCCATATGATAATTTGGCTTTAATGAGAGAAATGTTCAGACGAGGTGATAGAAAATGTGTTGTTGCCTCCTTTATTAGATAACATGCAGGCAGGATAACTTTGAGATATTTGAACCCAGCACTTATTTCCCCATATTTTTGGCTGTAAATAGGGATGTTGCATGATATGGATTTTTCCGGCCGATACCAATAACCAATAATGACCTGTTTAGCATGGCCGCATAAAAATGCAAAATAAATTAAATCCACCGACAATATTTCCGAACAGACAATTATCAATTATTAAACACAATTAGTTGAAACAAATTATCAAGTGCATCTTTTATTTAAAAAAATGTAGCCTCATTTACAGCTCTTTGTAAAGTGTGCACCATGCAGCCCAAGCTTGCAACCCCACAGTCCTCCATAGCCTTGGTCATATTGTGAGCATTGTCCCAAAGTACAAAGTGAACCCTCTCCTTTGTAATGTTCCACTGCCGGAACATAGATTCAAAAGCTTCACAGCTGCTGCTGTATGTGGGCCAGAACACTGCTGCGCATGCAACAATGTCCGTTTCATGTTTAAATCATCAACCGGCCTCTGAGTCACCGAACTACGCACGCTCACCAGACTGACGTCTGAGGTCCATATGTCCGTAGTAAAACTAATGTTCAGACTTATGAATGTGTGCGGTGACCACATCATATTGAGCACGCAGGGACACATCTGAAAATTAGCGACGACTTGGCAGAGTGCAGCGGAGCTCCAAATGTTCCATGAGCCGGCGAAATCCTTGGTCTTCTACCAGGGAAAATGATGATGATTTTTTTATTAATTTCTTTAGCCTTTGGACTGTCTCTAGCAAACTCCCTGCAGTTCTCAAACGCCTGCTGGATAGGCACTGCCACACTGACCCTCGCTGTGGCCTTTTTCCTCGTCACGATGACGGACTCTAAGGTGACTTGTGAGATTGGTAGTGATAGAATTTGCAAATGATTTTCCCCCTCTCGGAACCTTTGTAAAACATTTATTGCAAATTGTAAAACTACAGTCGCTCTCAGAAACTATGAAAAACTCACTTTCAGTTCCTCTGTAAACCACGGGTATGGACAGACGCGCGTCATGACATCATGACCACCGTTTATCAGACGTTTTATCAGCTACAATTTCATTTACCGATCAATAATAATAATGTAAAATTCCCATTGTCGTGCCGATAATATATCAGGCTGATTTCTACCGTGCATCCCTAGTTGTAAATGATTGACCAGGAAAAAAATATTCTCAATTTGTTCAGTATTGATCAAGTATGGTGAACCAGGCAACTCCAAAACTTTTGTCTATATCACAAGATGTGGATTGCAGTGTTGTTGTCTGTTGATCTGAACAGACTCAGGTTGCACTGACAACATTTTGGACAGGATTACTTCAGAGACATGTCCTTATGTTGGAGGGAGAGATCTTTATGTTGAACCAGAAACAGCTGTTGTCTGTGTTCTAAGCCAGCAGACTCCACTGATGATACCATAACACTGATTTGACAGTGGCAACAAAGTAGATATTATCATTATTATATTATTTACCCGACTTATCTTGTCCTTTACCAGAATATGGACGAAGGGGTCAATCACTTGAATGCATTTCAATTGATGAAGGAAGTACATATGATCAGCAGTGTGTGCAGTACACACAGTTAAGACTTTATTATGTGCCTGGTCTATGTGTTGCTTTGAAAAACAAAACGTGTACATTTTAAGGTTTGAAAACCTCTTTGCTTCTCTGCTTTCCTCATCAGTCCACTCTGTAGGAATGTTCTGTATGACTCACCAATCTGTTCACGTGTCTCACTGTAGGTCATTGAGTGTCTGAAGGAGAACAAGCGCCAGTTGACTTCTCGCTGCCACCAGCGGATATTCAAGCTGCAGGAGGTGGAGATGGTTGATCCTGAACTGGACTACCAGCTGATGAGGGTCTGCAAGCACATGATCAGGGTAGGTCCACTAACTCCTTGTCAAAATGATGGCCGTTTATCCCCCGCCTGCTGCTCCTGATGCAGATTTAGCGTGTTCAGCTCTTTTTTCTCTATTATCATAATAAAGCTAATTTGTCACTTTACAGTTAACACTTGTAAATTTGGATGAGCTGAATATTTTGTAAATATTGAACACTCCACCAAACTGTATGTGTCACCTGATGGTCCAATTATGATTCAGTGATCTCGTAAATTGGATACATTTCCTGAAGATGGATTATAACCATGAAATTGTAGATCACCCAAACGCACATTGTGTGTTATGTTTGTTTTTATGTATGTAACGTGTTTGGTTTTTTGGGGTTTTTTCAGCGGTTTTGTACAGAGTCAGAGGGGAAGAACGTTCTTCAGTGTCTAAAACAGAACAAGAACAGTGAGCTCATGGATCCTAAATGTAAACAGATGATCACAAAGAGACAGATCACCCAGAACACAGGTAAACAATCTCTCTCATCTCTCAGCATCATCAGGACCACAAGAATGCCTGCTGACTTTTTTGTTTGTTTGTTTGTGTGTGTGTGTGTGTGTGTGTGTGTGTGTGTGTGCGTCCGTGTCTGTGTCCAGACTACAGGCTGAACCCGGTGCTGAGGAAAGCCTGTAAAGCCGACATCCCAAAGTTCTGTCAGCCCATCCTGAACAAAGCAACTGCAGACAGCGAGCTAGAGGGTCAGGTCATCTCCTGCCTCAAACTCAAATATGCTGACCAGGTCAGAATCACAACTCTCCACAAACTATTCACACATTAGGACTGTTGTGCGGACCATGAATATGATTACACCGTGACAAGTCTGCCTGGATCAGTAGGTGTTTAAGTTAAGCAGATACAATCATGCGGTGTGTGATGTGTCATCTGGACTTTGTCACCACCTATTGGTTGTTTGTGGTTGTGTTTGAATTGTAGTTTGTACAGTGATATTTTGTACAACCGACAGTAAAATGGTTGTGTGGACATGCATTAAGAGGGGAAATCACAAGGATCTATGATTAATTCTTCAAGTGATATTTACCACAACACAAATGTATTCATGCCTGTTTTTGTGCGTTGTGGCAGCGTTTGTCTTCTGACTGTGAGGATCAGATCAGGGTCATCCTGCAAGAGTCAGCGCTGGACTACAGACTGGACCTTCAGCTGCAGATCCATTGCACACAGGAGGTTTACACATTTTTGCTTTCAAACACCACACTGTGAAAATGCTGAGAATTCTGGGTGTAGGGTTTTGTAATTTGATTATTCAAAATGATAAATTAAAATAAAAAATAAAGGCTTTCAGTTCTTTCATGCACACTAATAAGCCGTGCTACTGGTCATACAAAGCATTTGGAAACAAAATGTTGAGTTAAAATAGAAATTCATATAAACAATGGCACCAATATGAAAACAATGACGGGATGTCATCTGGTTTGTAGATCTCCAGTCTGTGTCCGGAGGAGGCAGCAGCTCAGGAGCAGACGGGACAGGTGGAGGAGTGTCTCAAGGTCAACCTGCTGAAGATCAAACAGGACGCATGTAAGAAGGTAAACCAACCCACTGCTGCATCACTGAGCGAAACGTTAACCACAGCGACATGGCGTACAGCCAGCACAGATGCTGATTAATTATATTTCAAAACAATTCCCATTGTTTGTACAAAATTTCTTTCCTTTATATAGAATTGGAGGAAACACATTTCCTCCCTGGATTTTTATTCTAACATATGAAACCTTTGTCTTTTTTTCCTTTTCCTCTCCTCATTGTCTTTCTTCCTCCCTCCCTCCCTCTCTCTCTCCTTCCCCTCTTATTTCCCTGCCTCCCCCCTCGTCCTGCAGGAGGTGTTGAACATGCTGAAGGAAAGTAAAGCGGACATCTTCGTCGACCCTGTCCTCCACACAGCCTGTGCTTTGGACATCAAGCACCACTGTGCCGCCATCCCACCTGGCAGGGGGCGCCGTGAGTTCACAGACCATCAAACACCTCAGCTGTGACATAGACATGAAAATAAAAAGTTCCCATTTTTATTACAAGTAGTGAGGGTTCTGGTCATAAAAGATTTGAAATATTAAAGTGTTTACCATCCATTAAACTGACATTTATTAATCCATGTAAATCAAAGTGCTACTATCCCAACCAACTGATGCTGCATTACCGAAACACAGGGAATAAGTACCTGCAAAATAAAAGCACAAGTAAAGACTAAATGCCATAATAAAACTCCAACAAACAATATGCAAGTAGTTTAAAAGTAAAACTCCAGTTCACATCACCCTTGCAACATTCTGGTTCAACTACCATATTCCACACTGCTATATTTGATAGTGATAGAAGCAGGAGATGCAGGGGCAAAGTGGAGGAAACAACATGCAGCAAAGGTCCTAACTGAAACTGTACCAGTGATGTTGCAGTTATATGGTTTGCATGTTAACCACTCTGTTACCAGAAGCTTCCACAAGTTGAATTACATATAATTACATCTAAAACAATTTCAAAAGTAAAGACTGAGTAGCATTGACTCTAAATCATCTAAGCTGTTACGATGCAGCTACAAGTCAAGATAACACGTTAATGTGAGTAATGTTTGTTTAACGTTTGTTTCTTCAGAGATGTCTTGTCTCATGGAGGCGCTGCAGGACAAACGCATTCGCCTGCAGCCAGAATGCAAGAAGAGACTTCAGGATCGCATAGAAATGTGGAGCTACGCCGCCAAGGTACAGGACCCCGCCTTCTTTGCACTGTCTGCGGAACCGTTCAAACTCTGAGGACACAGGTGCTGGTGATGGCACAGAGCAGGAGACACTCTGAGCTCTTCACACCACAACACAAAATAACTACAAAAACAGGATCTCTGCTTTTAGTTTTCTCAAGTCAGTGGAGACAAACTTAAGTAAGAGTATCTAATCCTCAATCCAGCAGAGGAATTTCCATTTTACAAACTTGAGAAACAAAATGTCAATTTCTTTATTTGGGATTTTGATGAGCTGTATGAAATCAGTTTTAAATTGTTTTTTAATCTGCATTAAATCTGTTAACAGTGCATTTTGAAGTTGAGTCATTGTGCTTCATTAACCTTTTTTTTCAGGCTCCTTTTTTTATGAAATTGGTTGACAAGATTAGCTGATTAAATCTTAGGTTTGCATTTATTGAAATAAAGTGAACACTTGTCATTTGGAAATTGATTTCTTGAGCTGCACAAACCTGCTTTAAATTGGAATGCTGAGCTTAGTTAGTCATTTTCATTGGTTTTCTATTAGAGCCATTGTATATTTGTTTACAGCATATATTGAAAAAAAATACAAGTATAGTACAGCTGTGTTAATTAAATTAGTAGTTATGACAGGTACCCCATCTACCTCACTGTCCCCTACACCCCCCCACCCCCTTGCATCCCCCTTTGTTCCAAGTCCATGTCCACCAGAATGACAATGTAGCGCAGTGACAATCTATCAAGGATAAATGAAGCAGCGTTAATACAAAACAAACAGGCGAGAAAGAACATTCAAAAAGAAAACTAAATAAATACAGAATGGAGTTGAAACAGTTTCAAAGGTACATAATAACCTGTAGACAAGCTGGTTGAAATGGTATTTCATTTTTAAAATGGGGTCTTTTAGTTTTCTTAGTGGCAGAGATAAGCCAGCCTTTATTTTGGAAAAGCTTTGTGTCATTTCCTGTTCTCCAGTTATAACAAGCTCTGAACTTTCTCCATGTTTACCTGTTTAACAGAAAAAAATGCTCAGTGCAACAGGGCACTTTCTTTTGTCCTTGAATATTGTTGAGCCGCCTCGAAAAAACTGAGCATTTCCTCCAGATTGGAGGGAATGTGATTAACTGCAGGTAGTGTTGAGGTGTTTCGACAGAAGCTTATAATAGAGCATGGAAACATTTCTGTAAAAGAGAGTATGACAGGACTGTCTTGTCCTGTGTGATCCTGCAGGTGGCTCCCGCTGAGGGTTTCTCAGACCTGGCCATGCAGGTGATGACATCACCGTCCAAGAACTACATCCTGACTGTGATTGGTGCTGGTGTGGCACTGCTCTTCCTGATGGGGCTGCTTTGCGGCCGTTTCACTAAGCGTGTCACTCAGGAGCTGAAGGACAGGTAGACCATGACCAGTCTGGGGTCAGGACACACCCACAGGAGAGACGACCACAGCTGAAATCGGACCATCCCTCCCCCATCATTTAACCCCCCCCCCCCGTCAGCCACAGATACTCCATCTGCCACAGATACTCCATCTGCCTCTCCATTCTGCTCCTGTTTCATTTCAAATCACTTCCTGCTTCTTCTTGAGGGACATCACTCACAGTCTCGCAAGTGAAAGTGGGTGTGAACAGTGACTTGCCTGTGCTTCATGTGACTCGCACACTCCCCAGGAAGACCACACCCATATGGAATTTACTTCAGATCGTTTCAGTACAGAGCACCGGGTCATCCTGCTGCTTTACCTGCGCTCACTCGATTTACTTTTTTTTTTTTTTTTCTTCCTCCCCCTGCCCCCTTAACTCTGGTGGGAGGGGTTGGGTTAGGTGAGGAGAGGGAGGGGGAGGAGGTAGGGTGGGTTTTAAGGATGCGGGGTCCAAGGTTAAACTTAAGGGGAGGGATGTGGATGAAAATGTAAAGTGTAAATGTGTAGAAAGTGGGATGGGGAAATCCTCATGTATAGAGACTACAGTGTATGTGTGTGTGAGTCTGTATGTGTGAGTGCAGGTTTGTGTGTGTAATGCAAATTGTCTTTGAACCACCATATTCTCTTAGTTTGTCCTCCTGCTTAACGGTTGTTTGGGTTGTTTGGCTCTGGATATATATATCTTTTTTTTTTTTTTTTTTTTTGCTGATGTGTGTTCGATTTTATTGCCATGGGACTGCCAGGCGGGCGGTGCCAACCAGCCAGCCCTCCACCGAGCCACAAAGAATAGAAAAAAAGGGGGGTGGGGGAGCCAGGTCGCTCAAAGCTCTTCCTACAACAGGAAAGTTTTATGGTTAAGTTTTCTTTCTTTTTTTTTTTATTTAAAACAGCAGACCTGGCAACCTCGGCTCTCCTTTTATGTTGTCTGATCATATTATTATTTTTTTTTTTAAAGCTTAATCTGTGCCATACGTGCAACACATCCACTTGCTGCTCCCAGTTTAGCTGATGTCACAGTTTCAGCAGCTGGTTGGGAAGTTGGTTTGGCACCACTCTGGCCTCTTTCCATCACGCCAGCTCATCAATAGTGATCCCAGTCTGAACCTGAACTGGGTGGAGCAGACATACTGGGATACCTGGCTCGTCTCTCTCCACCCTCTCCCCCACTCATGAACTCGCAGAGTGACTGTTGTCGTCACGCTGGTTGGCACGGAGAAGCTGAGAGCATTGCAGGAAAAAAAAATTAAAAAAAGAAAGACAGAAAAAAAAAATACTCTACATTATCATAGAGATGTGAACATTTTGTGTAAAGATGATACTGGAATCATTGCACATTCTTAGTTCTTTTTTTTATATCTATAAATATATATATATTGTTTTGTCATAGCCTTATTTATTTGTTTACTAATGGACAAACTTTTTTTTTTAATGATTTGAATGTTCTCTGGTTGCCTTTTCTCCAGCGAGCAAGCGTGGGAGGGAGGGGGGTGCAGGTGGACAAGATTTCAGCATCCCCCAGGTGTCAACTTGCTCCGGCAGCTGGCTGATGTTTTTCTTTTTTTTCCACAGGGGAGAGCAAACACCTCTTTGTTCGGCAGAGTGAGTTGTCACGGTGTCCAGAACACTCAGTGACTTTTGATCAGTGAGGCTCCACATAATCACAGTTTGTGACTGAAAAAGACAAACCAGGTCGTTACATGGATGTCTCGAATGTGATGATACTTTGGGGATGACCACTGCTGCTTTTGTAATCTATTGATACCGATCAGAGATGTGGACATGAAGACCAAACAGGAAGTTTGATTAAACTGTTACATATTGTTTGGATCATGTAAAAGATGTTGCTTTAACTCTGTATGAAACAGAACGACTGATTTGCTGATTTGCAAAATGAAAAAAAGGTCAAGTTTGTGGCGTTAAAGCAAAGCAGACAACGGGACTGTGTGACCTGTTTGGCTGTATATTTGATGCATCATGTGGAAACCTGGAGGTTGATGTTTTAGGAACAAGCCGGTCGAGGTTTCACCGTTATTGTAAGTCAGACTTGTCAAGGTGTCGGCGTTAAAGGAAAGGTTTTCGTGCATCTGAGCAACTTTGCCGACTTGAAAACCACGAGAGGAGAACGTGTCCTCTCCCAGCTCGAGCCTGTCCTGTGTACTCATGTGCACTGTACTGCGTCACAAACTGTTAACTACGCACCTTGCAGTTAGCCTGAACTGTTGATTTATTTTCTAGTCGTTTACAGCTTGGTGTGGTGAGCGCTGCCCTCCCTGCTTGAAAATGAGACGCTCTGATTCATTCAACTGCCTTCGTTATTTTTTATTTTTTTTTAAACCCCCATTTGAAGTCAGTTTTATCAAAGCGTGCCTACTTCTGGCGCGCCGTCCCGCTGAGGGATCCCACTGTACAGAACATCCCAGAACCCCCTGAGGCACCCAGCAGAGGTGTGTGTGTGTGTGTGTGTGTGTGTGTGTGTGT